GCTCATAATTCAAATATCTTTTATGAACTGCGAAAGCAGTTCCGGGGGTTGGTGAGCGCCAGCGAGCAGGGGGCGAAGCCTCCTAGTAAACATATATTTTTCAGATTTGGATTCTTGACTACTGAAATAAGGAAGGGAGGTAATGATAACCTGGAAAATATAGTCCCAACTCAATAGTTATGTCTTCAGAGCGGTCGAAAGTTAGGATCTCCTAAAATTGGTTTTTTACTTTTTGCGTAATTCGCCATACCTTAGGAACATTTGAAGGAAATCTCTAAAATTATGCATGCAATTATCAAACTCGTATTTTTAAAAATAATTTCAGAGAAAAATATTTTTTAAATTCTTGCAGATAGTGGCCCCCTTCAAGATATTTTGATGGTCAAGAATCCAAACTATCAGAAAAAGTACGCTTTTTTGGAGAAATTTATTATAAAATTTTAATTAATTTCTCGAAGATAAATTTTTTTATTCATGGTAAATTTTTTATTAATTATAAAATTTCCATACCTGATTTCATAATTAATTATAAAATTAATCATAAAATTAATTATAAAATTTTAATTAATTTCTCAAAGATAAATTTTTTTATTAATGGTAAATTTTTTATTAATTATAAAATTTCCATACCTGATTTTATACTTAATTAAAACCAGGTACTCATTAATAAACTAAGGTTAGCTTTTTGAGCCAAAGGATGTGTATTTAATGTGAAAATTGGATCATTAGTGCAGAGATTTTTCAAGGCGATTCTTCTTCTTTTTTATTTCTTTTATTTCCTTCCTTTGGGTTTTAGAATCAATGTGCTTTAGAATCTTAACTTTTATTTCATAATATTGACTTTTAAGAATTAAATAACGACATATGCAATTCTTTGAGAACTGTTTCAAAATATTAGCATAAATTTTTATTTTTTTATTATTATTTTTTTAGAAACTGAATGCTCGGGATATGTTTGAAGTTTCTGAAGAGTTCTTTACCTCTCTCGGCTTGATACCAATGACACCTACATTCTGGAAAAAATCAATCATAGAAAAACCTACTGATCGAGAAATGGTGTGTCATGCATCTGCGTGGGATTTCTACAATGATGGTGACGTGAGGTTAGAGTTCATTTATCTTAAAACCTCACCTTATTTATCCTAAGTCATTCTTAAATAGTCTGCTGTCATGTGGAAATAACACTAAAAAGTGTTAAAGCCAAAAATATGTAAGTTTTATAGCTGTTAGAAAAATTAAAGGTTATAGGTTCGTCTCGCCTTTGCCATGACCATCAACAAAGCACAAGTATGTGGACTAAATTCAGAAAATCTTTGCTTCTCACATGGACAGGTCTATGTGGCCTGCTCATGAGTCAAAAAACCTTTCAATATATTCGTGTAAGCTCCGAACGGAAGAACAAAAAATATTGTTTCCAAAAGCACTTCGACATATTTGGAACGAAACGTGAAAATGTCATTTTCTCCCCTAACTTATGAAAGGAAGCTACGTTAAAATGATTTTTGTTATTTTAATTTCGATATGCGTAGGTAGGTACTTTATTTACGTCGCACTAGAGCTTCACAATGGGCCATTGGCGACGGTCTGGGAAACATCCCAGAGGATGATCCGAAGACATGCCATGACATTTCTGATCTTCTGCAGAAGGATTGGCTCCTCCGTTTTGGTAACCCGATGACTTGCGCGCAAACTCGAGCACTTTACGATAGAAAAGCTAAGCGAGGACTTGATACCGAGGAACAGCCTCGGTCCCTACGCAGGTTGATCAAAGTGCTTTACGTACTGGAAACTGTATCTTTGCGATCAGTCCACCGTGGTACTTCGATATAAGTCGTTTCCTTTAAATAAAATTCAGACGGGAGACGGTGTAACGCCCGCCTGGTACAAATAGTAAAATAATAAAAGAGACTTATTAAATCTAGAATAGTAAACATTATTTTGAATTTTTATCATTATTGTGATAATTATTATTTACAAATGAACTCTAGATGAGTAAATTTTATTTCACAGGATCAAAATGTGTACCCGAATTGACATGGAAGATCTTATAACTGTGCATCATGAGATGGGCCATGTGGAATATTTTTTGCAGTACAAGGTGCAACCTGTGGTATTTAGAAATGGTGCAAACTCAGGTAACTAAAATAGAGGGTGTCCCAGGATTATTGGGACAAACTTTAACGGGAGGTAGGGGACATCACAAAGATTTAGAATGGCATAGAAACCCATGGTCGGAAACTTCATGAGAAAGTAGTAAGACAGAGAGGTGCAGGAAACAAAGAGACACAAGATTGGAGATCATCTGAAATATTTATTCGTTAAAGATATTACATGTGCTGTGGTAGATTGTAAGTGAAGATGTCACAAAAGATCTTCAAAGTTTCCGCCATTGCTAGCGATGCATGCATTACGACGCCGGACCATGGATTGACGGACTCGCACAAATATACTGGATTTTGTTGGATATCCCCCCGCTGCAGCACAGCCGATTCTTTCAACCACATCTATTTCTAAATCCACAGGTGTTGTGTACTCAGCGCTTTTCAGTGCACCCCAAAAAAAGAAATCCATGCAGCTTAAACCAGGAGAGCGTGGTGGTCAGGAAACAGGACCACAACGCCCAATCCATTTTGTGAACAACACCACCTAACGGTGAACGAGGACGTTTCTGAGCATGGGTTGTTCTACAAATCTGAATCCTTGCGATGTCCCTTACCTCCCCATGAAGTTTACCTAACAATCCTGGGACACCTATATATATATATGTATATATAGTATATGAATAATAGTTACAAAATCAAATTTAATTGGGTTTACTTATATAAGTTTTAGTTAATAAAACTTTGTGAAATTAACTATTTTACTTTGTATTAATTTTATAGGCTTTCATGAAGCTATTGGTGATGTCTTGGCTTTATCTGTAGCTACTCCTGATCACATGAAAAAAATCGGATTGTTGAAAGAAGTCAATCATGACCCAGGTAATTAAGAGCAGAAACTGGTATAATATACGCATATATTGAAAATAAGAAATCTCGATTATTTTAATTTTAAACAGGCGTTGAACGACTGACCCGATTTTGAGTTTAGAACTATTAATGTTCAACTCCATTGCATTGCAATTCTGAACCCAATCCAAAAGACAAGGGAACTCCTGGATCAAGTATTGGGACAAACTAGCCTTCGCAGAGGACTTTTTAAAGGAACTAACCAGATTTGCGTTACATTGAGAGGAAAACCGCGAAAATCTCCCACGGTTAGACAGTCGGGAAGGGGACTCCTACCCATGATCCGTCTACCTACCACTGAGGATATTTCACGTCAGCACTGTGGTTGGTGTGAAATTCAAATTTATCAGCCACCGTTGGGATTCGAACCCGGTCACTTCATTGGAAGACGAGCACTCTAGCTCCTGAGCCACCGCGACCCATTCCTCCTTGCAAACACGAATTATTAGAAACCAAAAAAGCACAAATCATGGTGTTATTTATGGTAGAAATCCTTGCAACGTCAGAAAATGTTTTGGAAATGAAAGTCTTTTCCAATCGCTTCGTGAATTGAGCCTGAATCGTTCCTCATTTCACTACACATTTAACCTTACTAACAGAAGAATTTCTCTTCCTTAGAGTCTAAAGCTATAAGTTGCTATAGATGCACGATAATGATGATATAATATTAATAAATTTCAAAGAGTAAGAGCATTTGATATATCTCGATCAGTGTGTACCATATCTTATCCTAAATTTTGATCTCACACACCAACTTGAAGTAGTCGAACTTCGTAACAAATGACAGTGCTCTGGACAGTCGGCAAAGGGAAATTCCTTCATAAGGCATACAGTGCGCAACACAGGATTACGATAATTCTCATGCTGATCAAATTGTTTCATTGTCACTTGTATTGAACTATTTAATCCTTTTAAATTTTTCACATATAAAAACTAAAATAAGCACGAAAACATTATATCATTACCTAACCATTTAAACTTACTTTTAATAAATCATGCATTTCGAATTGATATACGTTCCGTAGAAAAAGCTTTTATGTTTTTAGAATCCTTGTTAAAACTAAAGTAAAACAAGTAATTGTGTTGGGACTCCAGTATTTAAGCGATTAAAAAAATGCATATTAAATCTAACGGCCTTGATTGTTGCAGCTAACAGAAAGGACTCCACGTGTCATCAGGTAATGAAAATAGTTTTGATGTTTTCGCCCCGCCGTACCCACTAGTGATTCGATACATTTTGATCGCGCGGGTAATGATGGTGGAATATTCTGTATATTACAGTTGCCACGCATTCACACCAAAAGGTCTCTTAAAAAGAAACTTTCATTTGCTTACTTCTTGTTAAAAGGAAGATTTCTGGGAATCGGTAGTTGGAAATCTATACCATAACTATGTCAATATTTTTGGTTTAATACGCTTAGTTCCACCTAATTTCATATTTAGTTTCACTATATTTTGATTCTTGAAAAAGTTTTATATTTTGTATCTCAAAAGTTTAACTCTAACACAGTTAATAATTGCATCTTGTGACAGGAATTTCGAACATGCTGCCAAATGATTCAAATAAAGTAAAGAACATGAGAAGTTTTTATTCCATTCATTTTAAACAAATTCTGTTTGTTTCGAAAATCCTTGTGTTTACCTAATCCACAAAAATAAAATAAAAAATTTCAGAGGCAGAAATAAACAATCTGTTAAAAACGGCTCTGGATAAAATAGCGTTTGTACCATTTGGATTTCTAATTGATGCTTGGAGATGGAGAGTATTCGATGGTTCTGTTAAGACTAATCAACTCAACTCTGCATGGTGGAATTTGAGGTAATCTATTTTGATATCTAACGGCTGACTTTAGACAACACCTCCACACCATTTCCTTTTCTTTTTTTTAAATTTAAGAGCGCTGAAAATATGTATTTGCTTCTTTCGTTTCATGTATTATGCGATAATTCGAGATCGCAACGCTCGAATACGCCATTTGGAGAGTAGACTGGTTCCATGTCTTGATCCTCCCCTCTTCTACGATATTTTCCGTATTTAATTGTCAATTTTTTTTTTTTAAATTTTCACAACGCTTTCTTTTAGAACTATGCTCTAAACATGTAGTTATTACATACTAAACATGTAGTTTTAGAACTATGTTCTAAACTATGTACATGTAGTTTTCTGTTCCCTATGATTTCCCAGCTTAAAAGTTTTTAATCTATTTGAAAATCAAGACAGAAACCAACGTACTTCCTTCTCTTATGACTCTCCACACGCTAATGATGAATGCCATGCGAAGTGTTGCCATAGGTAGAGCCAATATGATCATTCCATTTATCAGAAACAATCAAAAATATAATGGATCGTGGTAGCTCAGAGAATCGGACTCTGGTCCAGAGAAGCCGGAGTTTATTTTCGACTACACCAAGATCCACCGAATACGTGTGGTATACTCGCCTGCAAAATCTGTGGAAACGAAAGTCCCATGATTGGTCGCTGAGCAGTACCATGGGTACAGGGATCCGGAGAAAAATGTTTCCCCCTCAGATCTATGTCAATATTGTGAAAGTGGCCTCACGAATGAGTGGAGCTGCTATCTATCCGAGAGGTTCGGAGCTAAGTCGTATTTTTACCCTAGTGGTGCTCTCTTGTCAAACGAAAGGCGCACCTCCCCTGACTTAATTCGGTTGGCGTACTTGGCATATCCAAGTGCCATAAGAAACAGCAACAAGCAAAAATATAATGATAAATAAATATTTCATGATTTTTATAATTTGGTAACTTCAAAATTATTCAAATTCGATGCTCATCTATTCTGTCTCCTTAAAATACTCATAAAATTATGAATGGCATAATTTTCGGGGAAGAAAAATATTCGTGTTAAGTAATTTATTTTATTTTTTAATATTTATTTAATTTTTGTAGGTTAAAATATCAAGGTGTTTGTCCACCTGTCTTAAGAACTGAGAAGGATTTAGATGCTGCTGCAAAATACCACGTAATTGCAGATGTTCCATACATTAGGTAATTGTGGTTTGTTAACTCTACTTTAAAAAAAAAAATTTTTGATTAAAATTACCACTTATTGACACAATTAAACAATTTAAATATCAGACTTCACCCGATGAAAAAGTTTGAGCATAGACTATAAAGCACATCTGTTGAGCATATCTGTTAGCACAGTCTTAGTTCTTGAATCCGAGAACTTGGGGGAATTACTCTCTCCAAGGAATTGGATGATGCGTCAACACTATCCAAGTTCTTGAATGTTGCTGATTGGTCGAATGAAAAACCTACACATGCACATTGTTCATGTTCAACATTATAGAATCATACTTACATGAATTCAAAATTACTAAATAAATTCAAATAAAATTATAAAAACACAAATACACCCTAAAAGATTAATTTATTTGAATTAAAATATATAAAAATGGATAACAAAATGACATAATCTGATGCCTGCTTGTTTACGTCACAAAACTTTACAAGATGATTAATTAAGGGAGGAAAAACTTGGAGGGAAAGTAGAACATGTTCTACTATCATCCAAGGACTTGGATGATCCAAGCTTCAAGCTAAACAAGTTTTCACCAGTTTCAATCAATCTTCGTCCAAGAACTTGGATCATATAAACAGGCCTTAATGCCTGAACGGTGGTCTGAATGTAAATAATAATAACTAGAACCCGGATTTTGATGATCTAAAAAATCTCAACTAATGCCCTTAAAAAGTGCAAAAAAATGCCCTTAAAAAGTGCAAAAATGCCCTTAAAAGTGCGAAAATTGCGCTAAAAATGTCTTATGACATGACTTAAGTAAAGTAAAAATATTGAACTAAAACAGTGTTTTACTCTTTAAAATTATTATAAGTCATTTCAAAAAATATAAGGCAATCTTAAAAATTGCATCGAGAAGATCGATGCAATTTTTAAGTGAGATAACCATAAAATCAAAACTTCAATCCAAGTTAAAATTCAATGCAACATTCGATTAAATAAATGTTATGTTAATCTTCTGCAGGTACTTTGTAAGTTTTGTGATCCAGTTTCAATTCCATAAAGCTCTTTGTGATGAAGCCGGATTCAAAGGACCTCTGCATAAATGTGACATTTATCAAAATAAGAATGCTGGAAAACTACTAAGGTATATTCTCCTATTATTATCAGAATTAAATCTTATTCATAAAAAATTTCTTCTGAAATTAAAAATAATAATAATTTTTTAAAGTGTTACTCACAATTATTATTTATAAAGCGTAACTCAAAATTATTATTTATTAAGCCGATTTGATACGTAAGCCCTTAAGCGACTAGTTTTTTATTTCTTTTTAAATCAATTTTTTTTTCAATTTTCTCTGGTACAATCTATTATTATTATCATTTTTTTGTACATTCTTTGGAAACCCAGCTTCTTGGACAACACTTGGCGCAATTTTACCACCTAAAAAAAGAAAAAAAATTCTAATATTTGAATAGAATCTTAAAATATGTAATATTCTAAGACTAATTGTCTATGAAAGGCTTGTCTATGCATAAAAAAATTAAATAACTGATGATTTTGCCCTCTTGATTAGAAACTTCAATCGCAAAATATACAAATTGGAAATAACAGTTGAAAAGTTTCAAGCACTCAAAAACGGGCACCCATTTGCAGGACTTACCAGACGTGAATGAGAGGAAACAAAAGTGATTTGAAGTATAAAAACGTAAAGTTTGCTAACAAAATATACTGAAATAAAGGTGACAAACAAAACTAGAAAAACTATAGTAGCTGAGTTGTTATTGTTAATTTACGTCGCACTAGAGCTGCACAATGGGCTATTGGCGACGGTCTGGGAAACACCCCGGAGGATGATCCGAAGACATGCCATCACAATTTCGATCCTCTGCGGAGGGGATGGCACCCCCGCTTCGGTAGCCCGACGACCTGCGCGAAGTCGAGCACTTTACGGTAGCACAGTTTAACGAGGACCAATACCGCACACCCTCGGTCCCTACGCAGACTGATCCAAGTGGTCACCCACTTGCACACTGACCGCAGCCAGTGATGCTTGACTTCGGTGATCTGCTGGGAACCGTGTCTTAACGATCAGTCCACTACGGGACCTATAGTAGCTGAGAGAAAAAAAAGAAGAAAAACCACTGTGACCGAGAGGTACTAATTAGGGACTCCTGTTGGAAGAAGTTTAATTACAATGAAAAATTATAAGAACAGTTAGAAATTCGATTCAAATAACCTTTTGGTCAGTTTTATGGTATATAAATACTTTATTATTTGAGTCTAGAAGATTTTATTTTAGGATCAAATTGTGAAGAAAGTAAAAAAAAAAAAAAAATCCTAATAAATACGCATCAAAAATTTAATTTTTAAATTTATCCTTTTAATATGTAATGATTAAAATATAATTAAAACAATTTTAATAACTTTAATTATTTTTGTGAAAAAAAATATTTTATCGCAATTACGAGTATATTAGTACTATATATGTCTCAAAAAAATTGCATTTTCTGCCAATATTTAGAACTTGGGTCCTAGGAGGTTTGGGCAACAAATTTTAATTATATTTTGTTAAAAAAATATTTTATCGCAATTATGAGTTTACTTTCTTTTATTCTACATTTCTCAAAAAAATTGCGTTTTCTACCACTATTTAGGACTTGGGTCCTAGGAGGTATGGGCAACAAACATTAATTAATTTAATTATTTTTGTAAAAAATTACCTTATCGCAATTGTGAGTTTACTTTTCTTTTATCCTATATATTTCTTAAAAGAATTACCTTTTCTGCCACTATTTAAGGTTTGGGTCCTAGTAGGTTTGGGTAACAGCCAGCTCTAACAGAAAGACTGCAACAGCAACAGTTAATTACTAATTAAATGTGTTCTATTTTATGTGGAATCTTATAAACAACAAAAGTAAAGTAATCAATCACATTTGTAATGAATCCTTTCTACATATATATATATATTTAGAATTGTTGTCAAAAAGAGTACATACATAATGGTAAATTAATAAGATGAAAAAAAGACAAAGAAGCTGTGGGAAAAAGGCTTTTTAATGAGAAATGCGAAACTCAAAAGTGATCGATTACCCCTGGGAAAAGGATTTGAAGTAGTTTCTTAGAAACGCCTCCAAGTTTCACAGGGAAATTAAACTGGTTTTCAAATTTTTTTTTTTATTATCCCATTCTTCCTCAAGAGTGATTAAAGCAGATTTCGATTGAGTTTTGATTCTCACCATGATTTTACGATCCATCCATGAAACGCATATTTGTTTGAAAGAACTAAAAGGTAGCGATAGCACCCTATGAGAAATTTTCTTTAAAGCTAAAAATTCCTCATACAGGAGTTTCAAGTCTAAACATGAATAAATTTTGGTTCAATAATTTTTTTTAATTATTTTAACTCATATTAGTAGTCAGGTGATTTCAAATGAAACTTAGTCTTTAGTGCAATCAATGTAATAATTTTTTTTTATTGATGTAATGAAAACGATGCTTAAAAATCAACGAATTTCTTTTTAGTGACACGTTGAAATTGGGAAGCTCTGTATCTTGGAGAGAAGCCATGAAAGTAATCACAAAGGGAAAAACGGACAAGATGGACGCATCTGCTATCTTGGAATACTTCAAGCCCCTCTATGATTGGCTCAAAGATCAAAACAAAAATGAGTACATTGGATGGAAAAGCAAAGATCCTATGATGTGCCCATAATGTTCACAGAACTAGCAAAACTTATTTATTAATTTGTTACTAACGATAAACGTTGTATCATCAGTACTTTTCTTTAAAAATCAATTTAATGTTTTATAATACATGGTCGCAAAAATAAAGAGCAATTTGAGAGGAAGGAGACAGAGGTGTACGGTTTGCTGCATTCCGCACAGAAAGCTGAGAATTATTCTCGCCAAACTTCACGCATACTTTTCAAAAGTATAAAACAATACCTTCTATAGTATGAATTCTGTTTCATCAATTACATTAAAAGTATTTGCATAGGTATCTATTCCATTTATCCTTAAATTGCGCCACGTTGTTGATTGCGATGAATGGTTATTTTGAAGGGAAAAAAATAATTTTTTATTTATTTCCTTAAATAGCAACAGAGCCCGACTTAGCCTAATTGCCACCCCCCCCCTCTGCTTCACTAATTCAGTAATGAAGAGCCTAACTCTATTGAGGTATTTCAATTTTTTACCTCATTATAAATATATAACAAGAAAACTGACTGGAACCTAAAATAGATATAAAGTCTCCCCTTCAATAGTCAGACAAAATATCATTCTGTCCATTTCATTGATTTTCTGACAATTCTATATCTTATCCATCATGCCAAATACCGTTTTCTGATTGCTAACTTTGTCATCTAGATGCGAAAAATTCATATCCTAGCTGACATTAGGGCGGAATTAAGCTAAATTTTCGCAATTACGATGACTTAATTAAGCCAATCAGAAGGCAGTATTTTTGTGAACATACCGAAATTGCAATATTTAAAAATACAGGCTTTTGATTCGCCGAATTTGTCTATCGTAATTGCGAAAATTTAACTAAATTCTACCTTAGAAAGCTATGGATTTATAAAATATAGATTTTTTGTGTTCATACGATAGATTAATGAAAAAGCTAACGGATTTTACAATGTTCTGATATTTTGTTTAAAATAAGTTCATTAAAGAAAACGTAAAATAAACTTTCTATTCGATTTGGGGCTCCAGAGCAACTGCCCCGTATGCCCCTGCCTAAGTCAGGCTCTGACTAGCAACACAATTTATTGACGAACTTGATAAATAGTTCTGAAACAGGAGAATAAAACTAGCTTCATGAGTAGAACACAGTATATCGTATCCTTTGTTTACCTTACTTAGTGTTGCTATCTGGACACAAGTGAAATATTGTTTCTTGAAGCACGCAAATCAAGTGTCTATGAATCCGCATACAAATCACCAGAAATTTCCCAAAAAATGTTAGTAATTTAAAATAAGAATGTATCTATAACTTCCCTTCAATTTGAAATTTATTATTTTTTTTCCACGTCTAACTACCGCATATCTTCATTAAAATTGATTGATTGGCCCAGTAAATCAATGTTGTTACACGGTGTTCGGCATTGTTAAAGACAAATGTTTTGGAAAATTTCGATAGATTTCTACAGTGGGCAAGAATCGTAAATGTAAAATTTTCTAAAATAAGCGATATTTTTACAATTTTTTTTTATATCTCGTGTCAAATATTTATCAAGAGTGAGATTAACATTATAACATATTCCTTTCAATTATTTGTTCAAACATCAGACCAAGCTAGTATCATTTGCAATATCATAGCTTTTGACAATATTAAAAACTGTAGTAGTTACATTGAAACTGGGATAAGTATTTTCCCCATTAAGGCGCACTAAAAAAAATAAATAAACAATATTCAGCCATTTTAACGGCATCTGCTTTGCAAAAAAATTTCAGTATCGTCAACGGAGATTATGAAACATAGCACGATTTAACAGCACCATGTAAGAGAAATACAAGTTTTTCTTTTTTTTTTTTTAAATACTCTCAAGAATGCACAATATAACAGGGTGCGTAGCCAAATTATTAAACAAAAAATAAGTACTTTTCAAGCACTCAAATAATATTTTTAAGCACTGTAAAAAAATCACAATTAGGTAGGATTTGAAAGTTTTTGACAATTTACGGTTTTAACAGTCATGTCAAAAAAAAAAAAAACTTTCGGCATTGTTTTTGACATATGTCAAAATTTTTGAATCATGTAAATCGAATGGCGTTTAATATGCTACGGACTGACGATACGCCGAAACAGATTGGGGTTGAATTAATTTTGAAAACGTTGAATACGTAGAACAATGTTTTTCTGCATAATTCGTAGCGAAACTCAACATGGTAAAAGGAAAAATTTCATTTTGGAAAAGGGAAAAATTAAGCACTTTTTAAAAACACCCAATGAAAAAAGCACCTTTAAAGGCTTTAAAAAAAACGAAAATTAGCACATTTAAGCACTTTTTAAAAACGCTACTCACCTTGTACAAGCAAACGTCAAGATAAATCTATTTGACTAAAAAATCAAAATACAATTTCATTTTTTTAAATAAATATTTCTAAGAAACAGAAGCGGTAAGATATTACTTTATTAAAAACTTCGTCTACTTCAAAAATAAACAGATTGGAAGAGATCCTGTGGTTTTTCTTGTTCTATTTTTCATCTTTTTCTCTCTCGGCTACTGTGGTTTGCTTCTAACCTTCATTTTTCGTTGGCAACTTTACAATTTATATTTCAAATCACTTGCGTTTCTTCTCATTCACGTCTAGTATGTCTTGAAAATGGGTGCCAGTTTTTGAACCATGTCGATTGTTATTTCCAATTACTTTTAAAGTAAATAAATTTATCAATTAAATAAATTTTCTATTTTTTTAATGAAGTATTGAATTTCATAAGCGTAGCGAAAATTCCCATGCATTGCAAAACTTTTTACAAGTTCTTTGTGTCTGTGGCAAAAATCTTTTTTTTCCGTAACGGATATTAGTCAATCGCACGATATTTTGTGTCAATATCTTTAAAACCTTTCATGATCATGATAGAGAAAAACGGCAGATTTGAAATCGGCATACAATCTACATTAAAAAAGGTGCAATTTAATGTCACTCAATTTTTTTAGCCAACTATAATTACAGCATTTTTTTCTAACACAATTTTTGTAGGTGTCGGACAGGAGCTAAAGCATAAGTTTTATGAAAAATTTTTGATATTTGAACTAATCCTTAATAGCATCATTTTCAACTACTCTAGATAAATTGTTTAGAGTAACACATATCTAAAATAGTCTAGGTTTAAAAATTTAGAAAACTTATAGCGATAGAAAACAGAACAGAAGTATGAGCGACAGGTTTATTCAAACATATCCAGATTTGCACTAACTAACTAAAGTGAACTACAGCAGAGCGTCGATTATCCGGACCAACGCCGATCCCTACAATTGGACAACTTTAAAAAATGGCAATGAGAATGTTTTTAAGTAACTTACATTCTAACTTTTTCCAGGCCTAGGATTAGTAATCATAGTAGTGCCTATTATACACTGCTGGACAATTGCTAAGGACGGATCACAAATTGCAATGTAGCATAACATTAAGCGGGACATGAGGGCTAGTAGGATAAAATATAGTTGCCACACTGTTCAGACATTAGAATAAAGAATATTCATTGTTATGGAAAGTACAAAAACTGTGAAACATCTGAAAGAAAAAAAATGTTCATTTGATGCTGCGAACGGAAGAATGGAACAATGTATCTAAATGTCAGCAGGCAACTAGAAGAAAGGTGTCAGTACGGGATATGTCCACCGTGGAGTGTGATGCAACATTCTACACGTCGTATCATACTTTGCACAACATTATCCAGTAGCTGTTGAGGCAATTTATCCCATTCCTCTGTCAGTGCACGGATGAGGATGTTCTTGTTTATCGGATGATAGTTTCGACCAGCAAGTTGTCTCCCCAAAGCATCCCAAACATTTTCAATGGGGTTTAGATCTGAAGAACGTGATGGCCATACGAGGCGTTGAATACCCTCGCTGTCTAGACAATCCTGAACAGCGAGTGTTCGATGACATGTTGCGTTGCCATCCATAAAAACAAATTTATCACCGACAGCACCACAGAAAAGACGAACATGAGGAAGTAGAACTTCATCAATGTATCGTTGGCCCATCATAGTCCCATTCGCAGCCACATGTAGGCGCGTGCGGCCATTGATCATGATGCCGGCCCACACCATGGCATTGCATGTCGGATATCGGTCCCTTTCCTGGATATTTTCTGAACGATAACCAGTACCACTCTCGCGCCAGATCAGTTGGCGTCTACAATCCGATAACAGACTGAACCTACTCTCATCTGAGAATATTACTCATGCCCAGTCCTGTTAAGTCCAATTGTGATGCTCACGACACCATTGCAAACAGGCAGTACGGTGCTGTCTGGTCTATGGGACACACAACAGGTCTGCGGAGGTATAGTTCTCCTCCCCTCAAACGTCTGGCAACAGTTTTTCGGGAGATCTGTTTTCCTGTGGCAGCAAGAAACTGACTTGCCACCTGCTGAGCTGTGGTGTGCCCGTTCCTTTTTGCTGATAGGACGAGGTATCTGTCTTCTGCAGGCGTCGTACTTCTAACACGACCTCCCCCGTGCCGCCTACTACACATTCCAGTAGTTTTAAATGATTTCCACAGCCGTGAAACAACGCTGTGAGCGATGTCGAACTCCCTGGCAACATCTGTTATTTTTCGCCTTTCTTCGATCTTTACAATAATTCGGCCACGCTTAAAATCATCTAAGTGATATCGGGAAGACATGCCTAAAATTTCAAGTTCGTCAACTAAATCTTTCCTGTAAAACTTTGACTTGAAACAACAGCTCTCCACACGCGTCAAAACCTTTAAAGCTCTTATCAGCGCTATCACGTGATGAACAGACGTGGAAAAAAAATTTGCATACCCATACCTCTTCTTACTATATCCCGCACTTATTCTAATTTTCCACATTTTGCTTTCTTTCATTTTGTGGTTGCTACGGATGATAGTGTTATCCGTCCTTAGCAATTGTCCAGCAGTGTAGCATATCACAAATATATCCTTTTTTTTTATTATTAGAAACCTGTTCCGGAATAGAAACTACATGCTACCTACATTGAAATTGGGCGGAGAGAACGTAAGGTTCCAAGTTTACCGAGGACTATGAGATATAATAAAGCACTTCGATTTTCTTTTCCGAAGGGTGGAAAAAAAAAAAAACACATGGTCCTTGAACTATCCGGATAATCGGGCAATCCGGTAAATCGGTGTTTGG